AACAATGCATCGCCTCTACTGCGATGACATAAAAATATGTGCACCGATGTCTCTCTTTCTCTCCGCCTCACCTTTTTCTCCGTCTGTTACTTTTCCGCTTGTCTCTTCTACCATCTCCAACCATCCACCCTATCGCCGAGCGCGCTCCTCTTTCGTTACCGTCATACACGAACCTCTGTCGATCTCGCGCAAGCTTCGTGCGCGAATTAATTCGTCTTCTCAGAAGACCCGTAATTTCCTCTCTGTGATCTATACATATACCACTTCAAAAAACGTTTGCCGACTGTAGAGCACGGCGAACTCGTTGCACAGTTAGAAACCTTCGGGGATGCCGTAAAACGCTTTATTGTTTTTCGTCCATATTGTCTGCGTCCGCCGTAGTGACAACGAATCGCGGAAGTTTGACTGATCGAAGCCAATACGCCGTGTTTTATAAACAGTTGCGGATGAATTGCGGCGAACGCTTATTGCCACGGACACCTGTGCTCTTAGAACGCAGGGCGTGGAAAGGAGAGGCCACGGTGTGGCAGCGGAGAATATTGTTCTCGACGGGCGTCGTCGTCGGAATTTTCGTCGTCGGATGCTCGAACAATGAGCATGCAAATGATCGGCCGAAGATCGATATCGGTCCCTGGCTGCGATCAGAATTTTCCCGCGGAATGGTACCGGGGGCAGCTCTGCCCTTTCGCCTATCCTCCCCTCCCCCCTCCCCGTTGCCCCCGCGGGAGACAAAAGGGGGCCGGCGCCGGTTGACAATGGCCCGATGGCATTACGTATGCAGGCACAGGGCTTCGCTCTTTTCGAATTCGTTGCATTCTGCCTCTGCCTTTCCGTTGCCGCCCCCTCAGACCCTCTTCCATCTTTCTCCTCCTACGCTCGTCCTCCGAGCTTCTCTTCTAACAGCGGAACGCGCCGTTCTTCTGCTCTTCGTTCTCCTCGATCTGCACACGTCCTCGCAGGTCCATTCTGCAAATTGCAATCGCCAATCTGCTCGACCCTTTGTCTCGTTGCTCTTTTTTTCTTAGCCCCTCGAGCACGAGCCAACGGCGACCGGAAAGCGTTAATAGACGGGGTGCGACCCGATGCTCGGCCCCTGAGTACGCGATGAATTCTTTTTTAAGCTTTCTCCAACCGCTTTTCGATGTTCCCTTTAATTGTATCTCGATCGACGAATGTCTGGAAACACGCGAGAAGAAGAGTAATCGTCAATGGGGGCTGAGTGCTTGCTGCGTGGAGACTCTTGCGGAAAATGCAAAGGGGGAACGTTCGTAAAGCGTTCGTTTCGTTCGCACAACAACGCGAGGTGTAGAAGCTTTTATGTATTAAACAGCATTGAACGATAGACAAAAAAGGACGGAGCGAGATGAAGAGAAATGTAGGAGTAGGAATCAGAAATCCGCGTTGCAAGCGGGAGGGAGAGAGGGAAACGCGAAGGTGGTAGGAAGAGAGCGACGACTGCATAGAACCTAAACTGCACAATGGATGGTAATATCGAATGGTAGGGAGTTGCCGTGTACGGTGCCGGTCTATTCAATGCAATAATTATAAATTGGTGTCTTTCAACTGGGCGGCAAATCGACACGTAACGAAGCCACTGTAACTGCATCCACGGCGACAACTTTACGCCGCTTTTGATTCTACAGCTACCACGGTGCTGCCGACGCGCGCCCCGTCTCTCGCGTACCCTCTTTCAAGCCCCGTGCTGGACGCGCGAAATCGCGAAAATACGCGGAACAGTCGGCTGCTGGATTTATAAATGACCAGTCGGCACAAGCCAGCCTCGTTTCAAGCGTGACGAAAATTACGTTTAATATCGATCCTTTGCTATCTGATGAGCTCTACTAGATCCGATTGAATAGAAAGGAAATTAACGACGTTGATCGATATATCAGCACTACTGTCGATAAACTCAACCAATCTAAAACCGTGTTATCCAGATCACGGTCATTACTTTTTCTCGGACGGCATTAATGTAGTTTTAAAAACATGTTGCAGATTGAAAGAAGTCAGTTTGTTCGAGCTGCTTTAACGATACGTACGCGTGTACAGATAATTATGTAATTAGGGCGAAATACATGACTCATGGTTCCATAGTACGTGCATCCTAGGGTTCGCCTTAACATGGCACAGGTTCGGAACCACGGTGTGCACGGCCTGGCCCCGAGGCAGTTACGAACTTAATGAAGCTGTTTTCCGTTTAATTAGAATCCCACCGTGATCCTTCTATTCTTAGACGGGTCTCGCGGTTAATCCTTCCTCCCGCGATATTAAGACGGTAACCTCGCTCCTTACAAAGCGGTCCGCTTGCACAATATCGCGAGTTATATTTACTGGGCCTTTATGCACTCTAGAAACTCGCGCGGCAAGTGCGCAGGAGAACGTCGCGCTCGTGCATGTACTTATTGTATATTATTTGCAGACGTCGCGTTCGCGATTTTTATTGCATCGGAATTCACAGCAATCCCACTTGCTGAAATTCACGTGGAATTACATCGCGACTCGCTGGGAGTTCTTATTTTTGCATACGACAGTGCCTCATTCTTTGCTTTCGTATTTTGTTACTACTACGCTTTTCGTCAAGCGACGTTATCTTCATGATTTCTCATGTTCTAACACATTTCTTTTAATTGAAACTGGCCGATTCAACGAACGGTCATACGAGATCGTCCAGCAAATCCCAGGAAGACGATGTCGATTCTAAGCTGGAGACGGCATGGACGGCGCTTGGTCGCCGTCGTCGGCGGCCATGCCGTGGGGCCGGCGCTCTTTTATTTCGAAAACAATGGAAGGGCGCTTTGTTTCAGGCATTGTCAAGCGGACAGTAACGCGCGCACAAAAGTTATAATGAAACGCTATTTATTTAAATGTATAGGTGCCACGGTGCCACCAGCGAGCCCCCTCGACTTTCCTCTACCCTCGCAGTCCACAAACCCGGTCCTTTGTGTAGGTACGTACGTGCACGAGCACCAACACCCGGCCACCAGGCGAGCCGTTCTTATTCCGTATTCTTTTATCCAACTATCACATTTACGGTGCCATTCTTCCTCTCAGCAATTGTCTTCTTAAGGTGATGTAAGGAATGGCGCGTGCGCTAACCGAGGCGCGGTTTTGTACTCGTCGATTAAAAATCACGGCAAATCGATGTTTACAGAATCTAGACGTCTCGTCACCCACGTCAAGCTTTCAAAGGACTGTGTTCTGTCTTTCTTCATTAGAGTTTTACTGTCTTACCATTAGACTTTCATTCGTAACGCGCACAATTCACATTAATTATAGACGTGTATATAAAGGGTCTTTTAATCATCGTGTTCGATAAATTGCAATTTAGTAATTATGGTTGAAGAGACAAATACGATTTTCATGATGCATCGAGGCAGAGAAGAACGGTACACGAGACAGCAGTACCGATAATAATTGGTTTTATTGAAGATCCAATGAAAAAGGTAACCCGATATCTTACTGGGGGACGCCTAATTGACTAAAGCAAATAGGATGATGATTTTATGATGGCCGAGACTACGTATTTCTGTCTTCTTAGTATTGTACCAGAGATTTTTCGGGACGCTTTGTGGAATTAGAATACGTGTAATTTATCTAATTGTGCAGGATTATTAACTTTACAATCGGCTAAGTAAAGGTTCATACACGATAGCGGTATTAACGATGCAACGTTGCGTTTAAGTGGGAACAACTGTAACAATTAGATGCGTATCCGGAGATCTCCGAAGTGAATGCAATTAGATACCGCTGGACAAACGGAATTATAAATTGCATCTCATTCGGAGTAGAAGACAACGGCCACAAGCTTAATATAATCGTTTCCTGCGGTTTACCAACGGTTGCTCGGGGAATAATGAAATAATGGTCTACCGTGCGACAATGCTCAAGTGTGAATCAATCATTCACCAGATTTTCTATGCGGTGTTATTCAACGGGCATTCGTAAATTTCCTTTCATCGTTATTGCATATTCCAACGATTCTGTTCACGACATCGCGATCGTGATTTGCAGAGTTCGTCGAATTTCTTAGTCGAGAGACAATTCGCGGGTTTCCCGTATTTCTTCGGCAACGCTTCTTTCATCGCGCGTGCAATTTATCGCGCAGCTTCGGATTCGCTCGAAATTACGTCCACGGAATTTTAGCGACAATGCCCTCGTGCAAGTCTCATCGCATTCTAGCTGTCGACCACGATGCATATGAGCCAACGTGCACCCCGAGATCGTCCCTCTTTCTTTCTTTCCTGGTAATAGAAAGGAAACGCGTTTCTACCTCCCCCGGCCTTTTTCTGATGCCGTTTAAAAAAAGAATCACACGGCACCTGCAGACTGATGCGTTCTTCACGAATATGCTTCGTGGTCAAGAAAGAAAGGAGCAGTTCTTTGTGTATCGAATGAATCGACAACGATGATATCGAGGGATCGGATACAACAATACCTTCTGCTACATGGTTCGAGCTCATTTTAGGGTGAAGAAAGGTAGGACCCTCGATGTCTAAAGGGCGAGCCACGAGCATGTGTTAAATGTCCCGGGAGGTTTCAATTTCCTTCAGATTTATCATTTTCAGATTTCATTATTACAAAATCATACAATACATCTGAGAGTGCATTAATTATTTTAGCATAGTACTCTAAAATTTTTTGATAAGTGCGCATTGTAAGAATCTTCTAGAATGTTGATAGTTGCATGAGGGTTTACGAGTTTATTTCGTTGGAATGCTGTTGTTTGAGTTTTGAGTGTTTGAGGGAAATAACGAGAACACCTTATGATCATGCAATTCACAGGTATGATTGATCAATTCTCACTTGCATTATGATTTACCGTAATACTGCATAAACTGAAATTGAACAAAATTATTATTTTATTGCTTGATCGAACACGATCTTATCGTTGTGTTATGACCATAGACGTGCATTGTAACGCGGCTCGAGTTATGGTGGGGGCGCGCGGTGGTGGGGATCGTCCGCCGCTGCGACCGAGGGATCAGTTCCATGCTGCGCGCGACACCGTAAAGTACGCGATAGTGTCCGTCTTCGTTCTCCAGCTGGGAATTGTGTCTTTCCGCGTTTTTCATATTACTAAACGTCACGTGTGCCTGTCTAGTCGTTTGTCTAGTCGTTTGTCTAGTACCTCGACGTCCTATTCGAAACCATCGAAAAGAAATTTGCCCGCGACGAACGTATGAAAGTGAAAAGTGCTCGCTCGTTTTTCTCGTGGAGTATGTAACATCAATTAGTGCCGAGTTATCGCGTTGACAACGTGACGCGTCGCGAGTAAACTAAAGATTGAAAGAGATATCGCGCGTAAAGTGCTTCGACCGTGCGAGAACTTGCCGTGTCTTCCGTGCATAAGTTTTCCTAATTCGCGTATGTTTAGGTTAGGGGGGACATAACGTGCACTGGACCTACATAGTAAAATTGCATCCCCGTCAAACGTGGTTCGCCGGTAGCGAACTGAGCAACCAATGAAGGCTCTCGCATCCAAAGGACTGGGAACATCCTACCGTTTCCGGTATTATTTTTGGCGGGATAGCTTGTGCCGCATCTCGAGATTCGCGTGTGACAGACGCTGTGACACACGAGGACAATGCACGGAATTTCGGTTTTGAATTTTGCTTTGACGTGACGCGTGTCGACGAGACTCGATGTAGTGCGCGGATTGCTATGACATTTGGCTTTGACTGAGTGGCTGTTAGAGTGCCGTATCTCTATCACTCCTGGGGATGTGATTTATGTTGCCGTGTACCAAATTTTGCTGCGACGTCGAATCGGTGAGTACCTACGCTCCGCTTGAAACTCTATACTTTAATCCGCTATAAAAAGCTTGCCAAGTTAAGAATCATGTATAAGCACTATGTTGCCGATGGCAAACATTTCGAGCAAGTGAAATATGTATGCACGTAGTACGACGCTACAAAGTCAAAAATACTCTTTAAAGCATGAAGCGTAATCACAAACGAGCGAAAGATAAGTGCTTTCTCCCTGTTATGCATTTTTTCGTTTAGTATTTGACTGTTTTATCCAAAGCTTCTCTACTGTTTTATAATCTATAGTTTTTATGAGGTTTTGAAGTAAATACATATTTCTAGTTCTATTTATTTCATGAACAATTTTAAGAACAGTTTGTTTAAAAAAGTTATTACATAACGTAGCCTTATTTCCTGTTTCAGCCGTTACATTGCGCGAGATTACGCATTTTTTTAGATTAATAATGATTAGACAATCTTGTTCGACGCCATACATGTTTATATAGCACCGTTGTTACTTTACTGTCTTATCAAGCCTGCAAATTCTATATAGTATGTTTACGCGAAGCTCAAGGTAACTAGCTGCGAAACGCGCAAAAACCAAGCGTGAAAAATATATATCGTCTTCGCGGTCGCGTCCTTGTCTCTATTTACTTTCAGCCAAAATATAACAAGTTGAACGTACATTTAACATCTGCCATTTTTGGGAACGTTTTTTATAGAAAAATGTTTCATTCGCGTCTCATTACGAAACACTACTTATACAGAAAATGTAGCTCGGAAAACACTTGGGGCTGTTGAAAAGAAAAAAGAGAGAAAGAAAAGTATATAAAGAATCCTATCCTTGGGAAACGAGGAAGCGATCAGCGATGCATAAGCGGCCGCCGATACAATCGCGCGCCGCTAGAGAGAAATTGAAATTCTTATCCGAGGCGTGCGCGGCTGAAAGGCTCTCGCGAATCGCATAAAGGCCTCATCAGAACGATCGCTTGAATATCCTCGTTCGAGTCCCGTCGAGGCAAAATGCGGAGGGGAGGCGGTGAGGACCAAAAACGGGGGAATAAAAATGGGGGTAGGGGGGTGGTTGTGACGGAAGAAGAGGAGGCATCGATGGAGGTGGCGTTGGATATAGCTGCGGGTTAGGCACACCGAGGAAGGTGGTGGTTGGTCGGGGGAGAGGGAGGGGGGGGCAAGCATAGAGGGTGGGCATCATAAAAGGCCAGCAACCCCTATTCCACGCAGGCTTCAATTGTTTCGGCTAGGCAGCGTTCATTTGTTTTTCTTTGCATGCGCTTTTGCATGCTCTTCTGCCCTTCTTCTTCCCTCTCTTCTTGTTCGTTCTCCTTCTCCGCGACCTATACTCTTTATCACCGTCGTGTCACTTCTTGCTCTGCTTCTTTAACCCTCGTCGCTCTTTCACTTGTTTCGACTTTCTCTCACCTTTTGCAATGCTTTTTAGTCGCTTTTCTATCTTTTTTGTTTTCTATCCGAGCTTTTATTCATATGGAACACGTCCGTTCCTCACACGTTTCACTCACCTTCACTGTGTGAGGTATATTAAAATCGACCATTGTTATCGTGGGCTAAAAGGATGCGGTGCGATAGTGATTTCAGGGTGGAAAGAAGGTGCTGCAACATCAGCCTTTGACGCGACTAAGAGAATCACATTCTAATATTTTTTAAACGATATGCATACTTTGAAACTCCTTTGACTTAAACCGCGTACTTATCAAACGGGCGAATACGAGCAAACAGTTTTATTTCTGTTCGCAATTGATCGACGGGCACAAACGCGTCTTTTTTTTATGTACTGACACCGGCCGGATCATCTAACAAGTGTAAGCGAGTAAAAATACTCACTTGTTCGCTTAGTGGGCATATAGCTTTACATGACCGAAATGAGTATCCTATGCATAGGACTAACAGCCACCTGTGAACGTGTAGCTGTTCGATAAAGAAAACGCACGTGGTGTAGATGTGTTATGATTTAATTCTTATGTTTCTTGCATTGACCATGTCATGCAAAGCTTTTATCAATTGCTATTAGATGAAATTGCTATGGGATAAATTAAAAGACTAGGAAGATCTGTAATTTTCTAAACAATTTCTGTCATTCTGATTTATCAAATTTCCGTTAATGCGATAATTAGTAGATATTAATTTCATGGAACATTAGGCTTGGAAAATTTAATGTTCGACACAGTCGTTGGAGGAGTTCGTTTCTCATCTACGAATGGCGCTCCTAGATTGTTCGGGTGAGGCAGATGCTACCGAAATAATTATAATTTACACCTGCCCGTAATAAACGAATATTCACTGCGGCTAGTCGAATCTCTAAACCGATACCGCAGCGTGGGATGGCCGGTGAATTAGGCGGTGTCATCTGCAGGCGTGAAATTTCGGGTGGGTTTAACCGTAACGCCAACAGCTGACAGGATCGACGCGATAGCCTATATAATAACCCTATTGGTGAACTACCTCGATGACGGATCGCCGATCAATTAATCAATAAAATTCGGCTGTACTTCCCATCGGAGAAACGATAGATGTCCACGCGTTTTCTATTCACCGTCAATCGAATTCAAACAGAGAATCTTCGCAGGATCGTGCGAACATTGGACATAGATAGATAGATATAGACTACGAATTTTTCGCGTCTCGATGTTCTTCATTCTTTGCAGTAGATCGAATGGGAAAATACATAATTAGGCATAATTTTGTTTATCACCGTTTTTTTCTGGTGAAAATGCCTTCGTATAGTGAATAGAATCGTGTGTATCATTCGGTGATAATTTACTTCTCTCAACGTTGGTCTAACCGTTGCATCTTCATAGAAACGTGCTCTAATAAGGGCTATTTCGCTTAATCGTCGTGTCCGTGTAATTGGCATTTCAGTATAAAGCAGCGTCGCGTCGGGTGCCGTCACGTCACCGTCCCGTTTGACGCGCGCGGATTTTATTCAAGAACGAACGACTGGTAACGAGTCATTAGTCGCGATTCAGGATTCTTGCCGAGGAACAAACTCCTTTTCCTTCGTCCTGCGGCGCGACGTGGCGCCCGCGCGCGTTCTATCGATTCCGGCCGTTGGATCCAGTATGTAGGATCCGTGTGTGTCTCTTGCGAGAGGCAAGCGGGCATACGAGAATAAATCGTGGCTTCGTTACACGCGACTCGAAGGCGGCAAACAAATAGGGTTAATTCCACGTGCGCCTGCTAGCCTGAATACGTCGTTTCCGAATGGAGGTAATTCCGGTGACAATGTGGCCTTTGATTTCATAGAACCGCACGGTTGAATGACTACCTCCACCCACCGCCCTCACCCGCCGACCACCCCCGCCGCCCTCTGGGTCCCTTCAACTCCGCGAAAACCCTCTTCCATCCTGCTGCAGCGAATATACATATAATAAAGTAAAGTCAGCCACCGCCAGCTCCGGCCGACCCGGCCGAAAGGACTTTATTCAGTAACTAGCGATTCATGCGAAATCGTGAATCCGTTTCTGCCCGGCTTCGCTTCCACCTGCCCCTTCCTCCTACCGTTTCCTTTTCCGCACCCTTCCACGCAGTTCGCTTCTCTCTCTCTCTCTCTCTCTCTCTCTCTCTCCCTTCCTTTCTCTCGTCTTGTGCACCGCGTTCAACATGTTCGCGTCTCTCGTCGTCCAATCGCGAACTCACCTTTCATGATCTTTGTCGACGCATAACGACGTATCGATTTGGGTCTGAATTCGCATATATTTACATAGCCAATTGAAGAAATCGATAAATCTTTGGAATTCCACTCTTTTACGGTGAGACGTTAATGTGATTCAATTTATGGTAGAGTAGTCGAATTTTTAGAAACACTCTCGCGCCATGTGGAGAGGGAACAAAACAAATCGCTCAGTAGGACGAACGAGCGAGTGCTCTTTTCCTAATGCAGGAGAAAGCGAATCACAGCGGGTAGCAAATCTACGCATTATGCAGACGGATGGGAGATCCGTGCGTAAGCGTGCCACACGTGCTATTGACGCCTAGAAGCGGGACGATGGAATCGTGTCCTTATTTTTCACAAATCACTTAGGAATTCATTCGATCGCCGATAATTTTTTACCCTCCGTGTATTTTCCAACACGACTCGCGCTTTTTCGTAACTCGAAATTCGGAGTCCTATCAGAAGAGTATTATTGCAAAATTTGTGTTTTTTCCGTTGCGTGTTTGACAGCATGAGGCCCTCGAGGGAATTTTCAAGAGGCCCCTGTCACGTTTACGTCTCGCGGATACGTAGACGATAAAGAGGTACACAGGGTAGCGGTGTTGGACGCGAGGGGTGGACTGGGGTGATGGTTGCTTTGCTAGAACGAGAAGAACGCGATGCTGGGAGGGGCGGGAGAAGAGTTTTCGCCGCATTCGGTACTCCTCCGGCTTGGAAATATTTCCGAGGATTCAGCGAGTTTATTAAGGCTATTCAGAGCGCGTCTGCCTCTGAGACAGCATTGTGGATACAATTTAGTCTTATTCATCCCTTCGCGGATGTCTAAATATTTTCAACCCCCATCCCACCCTCTTCGTCTTTCTTTCCCTTCCTCGCTCTTTGTGGGTCGGGCTTCTTCTGCTCTCGTTCTCTCGTCCTACGGATTCTATGGGACTTACGTACTCTGGCTGGCGCCGCGCACCCTCGTGCCATTTGCGGCACATTCGAGTCTCTTCAACCTTCACCTGAGTGTTTTAACGTATGCGAGTCAATGATCAGGCTATGAGATGTATCGACAGACCAGTCAAACAGAGGTCGTAAATTCCTGTCCCGTTTTTTTTCAGTATCACTAATCACACGTGACCCTACGATCGTTTATGGAGATAGGGACCTTAGTTAATTGAATACGGATTCCAGTACGTATAATTTAATAATCATTACTAATAAATACAATTACAGCAGAAATATCTTAGAGTACCTCGACACTGTAACGGAGCGTAAAGGTAAAATCGTGTCGGAGAATTCGATGTGTTCAGTACCGGCTGACAAACGAGAGTGTCTCGAATCTTCTAAGTTA